AGGAATTAAGAACAAAAAGGATAACTAAATGAGTCTTTTCTTATGACTTAAATTTCTTTGAAAGATAACTGGTTATCTTAACAAAAATAATAAGAACATATTGTAGAGTTTATAGCTTATGCATAGGTAAAATGTACGGCAACAGAAGCATAAAGGCCAGGAAAGGAGAAATGGAAGTAATACCGTTATAGGGTTCTTAAACCATACATAAAGCAGTGTAATAGCAGCTGCAGGTAGACTCTGATAACTTACAGACATCCACTATAAACCCTAAAGCAGGCACTGTAATAACCAAACAAAGAGTTATAGCTAAGAGTCAACAAAGAAGATGAAATGGAATCATAAAAACTCCTGAATTAATCTAAAGAGGTTAAAAAAAGAAAAGGAAAAAGGGATCAAAGAACAGATGGGATGAATAGAAAACCAGGAGCAAGATTACAGACTGAAACCTAATATCAATAATGGCATCAAATGTAAATGATCTATACAATCCAAATAAAAAGCAAAGATTGAAAGCAAAACCTGCTTTCAATCTGCTATTTATAAGAAATGGCAGTTCAAATGTAAGGATGCAAAGAGGTTGAAGTAAAAGTATAGAAAAAGACTAGCATGGTAACACTTATCAAAAGAAAGTTAGATTGTCTCTATCTATAACATAAAAACGTCAATTAAAAAGAAAAGGACATCACAAGAGATAAAAAAGTACATTTAATAATGATAAAGGCATCAATTCACCAAGAAAATAAGAGTTCTAAATAGTTGTATATTTAATAGTAGAACTTCAAAACACATGAATCAAAAACTGATAGAAATACAATGGAAAAAAAGACAAATCCCCAATTATAGTAAAAAAATTTTCGTACCCATGTCTCAATAATTGACATAACAAGTAGATAGAAAAATCAGCAAAAATATAGGTGACTTGAACAACGCTATCAACAACTTGATCTGCTGTCATTTGCAGAACACATTCAGAATACACATTTTTTTCAAATACACACTGAACATTTGTCAAAATAGACCTTATTCTGAGTCTCATTAAATTTAAAAGTTCTCAAGTCATACAAACTATGTTCTCTCTCTACAGTGGAATAAATTTAGAAATCAATAACAACAATATGTGGAAAATCCCCAAATATTTGGAAACTAAATAACACACTACTAAATGACCCAGAAATCAAAGAAGACATCAAAAAAGAAAATTAGAAAGTATTTTCAGCTGAATGAAAATAAAATTACAAGGTATCAAAACCTAAGAGATGTCTCTAAAGCAGTACTTAGAGGGAAAATCTATAGCACTATACAATATTATTTTTAAAAAGGTCTCAAATCAATGGCCTCAGCCTTCACCATAAGAAACTAAGAAAAGAGGGCTTCCCTGGTGGCGCAGTGGTTGAGAGTCCGCCTGCCGATGCAGGGGACGCGGGCTCGTGCCCCGGTCTGGGAGGATCCCTCATGCCGCGGAGCAACTGAGCCCGTGAGCCATGGCCGCTGAGCCTGCACGTCCGGAGCCTGTGCTCCACAACGGGAGAGGCCACAGCAGTGAGAGGCCCGCGTACTACAAAAAAAAAAAAAAAAAAAAAAAAATTAAACCCAACAGATGCAAAAGAAAGGAGATAATAAAGATCTGAGCAGGTATCAATGAAATAGAACATAGAAAAACAACAGAGAATCTATGAAACAAAAAGTTGCTTCTTTGAGAATATTTATAAAATTGATAAACCTCTAGACATACTTATCAGGAAAGCAAGAGTGAAGACACAAATACCAGTCTGATACTGGTATGAGAGTGCTGACATTAGAACAGATTATACAAATATGAAGAGGATAAGAGAATATTATGAACACATTTATGACAATAAGTTCAAAAATTTAGATAAAATGGACAAATTCATAGTAAGACACAAAAACTGTTAAAGCTGTCTCAGGAAGGATTAGATACACTGAATAGCCCTACCATCTATTTTTAGAAATTTAATTTGAAGTTAAAAACCTTCCAACAAGTAAAAATGTCAAGATAGCTTCACTGGTGAATTCTACCACATAACTAAGAAAGAAGTAATATCGATTCTACACAAACTTACACAGATTTGAAGAGGAGGGAATATTTTCTAACTTATTCTATGATGGCAGAATTAGCCTTATACAAAAACTTAACAAGAACATTACAAAAAATAAAATGACAGTTAACATCTATGCAAAACCCATAACCAAATTTTAGAAAATTTAATCTTAAAATAAATTAAAAACTTAATATGTCATGATCAAGTGGCGTTTATCCCTGGAATGCAAAATGGGTTTAACATTCAAAACTCCATCACTTTTATTCACCACATTAACAGACTAAAAAAGAAAAATGCTGACTCATCTTAACAGATGCAGAAAAAGCATTTGGCAAAATCTAATACCTATTCCTGATTTAAAACTCTAAGAAAAGGAGAATAGAAGGAAAATTAACCTGATAAAAAGCATTTATGGAAACTGTATACTTAACATCATATTTCATGATGAAAGAATGATTCCCCCATATGATTAGAAACAAGATGATAACTGCCCTTAATCTTTCTACTCAAAATTGTACTGGAGTTTCTAGCCTGTGCAGTCCAATAAGAAAAAGAAATAAGAAGCATTCAGATTGGAAAAGAAGTACACGATCTATACTCAGACAATACAACTCATCTATGTGGATAATTAGATGGAACTAATAAGTGAATTTCATAATATTGCAGCCAAGCTATCAGATAACTGCAGCCCTAGCCGTCATTTTGTTTGCAACCTCATGATAGACCTTAAGCCAGAGCATCCAGTTAGACCTCTCCCAAATTGCACCACAGAAACTCTGAGATAGTAAATGTTGTTTTAAGCCAATATTTAACATTTTGGGGTTATTGATTATGCTGCAACAGATAGCTAATATAGCCATTGCCTATTCATTCATTTAACATTTATTATTTCCTAACTCTGAGCTAGGCACTGTTCTTGGTGTTAGGGATACAGTGGCCAAAAAAAAAAAAAAAGAAAGAAAGGTTCCTGCTTTCATGGAGCTTATATTTTGATGGGGATGGGAGAGCAGCAATAGACAGGCAAAAATGAGTAAACTAATTAATAATAATAACCAGAGATAAGTGCTTTGGTGAGGTAATATGATGGGGGGATCGTTACTTGAGAAAGGTTTTTCCAGAAAAACTTACGATATTTAAACAACAACTTGAATGATGTGACGATCTGGGGACAAATTGTTCCAGGCATAGAGTTCAACAATAGCAAAGGCCCAGAGGTGATAATAAACTTGTCTCTTTCCAGATCCAGCAAAGTGATGGTGAAGGCCGGATCTTGAAAAACAGGAATCAGCAAACTTGTCTTCTAGATCAAATCCTGCCCCAGTCCTGTTCCAGTACAGTCTACAAGCTAAGAATGGCTTTTACGTTTTTAGAGGGTTGTATGAAAAAGAAGGAGGAGACGATGTGACAAAGATCCTATATGGCCCACAAAGCCTAAAACATTTAGGTTCTTCACAGGAAAATTTCTTCACAGGAAAAGTTTACAGGCACCCATAGTAGGGTTTCATTGGTTAGTATAAAGGATTTATATTTAATTTTCTTTAAAAATTTTTTTATTTCTTTTTTTTATTGTGGAATAGTATTCCATTGTATGGATGTATCACTCTTTGTTTATTACCTAGTGGAAGAACATTTGGGTGATTTCCAGTTTGGGGGGATTATGAACAAAGCCACTAAAAAAATTGAAATACACATATTTAAAGTGCACAGTTGATAGATTTTGGCAAATGTATACATCCACTTATGTCCAGTCTAATCAAGACGTAGAACATTTCTATCAATATAACTGCCATGAGTTCTCCGCTGTCCTTTTCCAATCTCCCCTAACCATTATTCTGATTTCCTTCACCATAACTTCCCGCCGCCGTCCCAGAAGTTCATATAAATGGAACCATATAGCATGTGAGAAGATGCTATATGATGCTATATGCTCCTTTTACCCAAGAAGAATTAGTAAGCAATTGAAAGCTTTTGAGAGCGAAATTGGCACAATCTGATATTTATTTTAAATTATCTTCTTGGCTACTGTGTGAAGGATGATGAGTAGACAATAGTGTGCCCCTGAAGTTTTCTTCTTCTTCCCATCTTCTGGGGGGATATATGGCTCGATAATATTCCTGGCCAGACCAGAATTTACAGGTCGACTTCAACTACGTAGAGCAAAGCTCGATTCAAGAGTTCCATTCAAGGCACTCGAACAGTTTCTGCCGTTCCCGGTTCTCCCGGCAGGTGGCGCCAGAGCCCAGTTCCTGGCCTGCCTCGCCGAGTCCGCGCGCTGCAGTGAGAGCTGGACGCCACCGAACGCCGCCAGACGGCTCCCCGCGGCGATTTCTGCGCTAGTGGCTGCGCGCCCCAGAGGTCCGGGTTTGCGCTGAAGTTGGGGAGCCGTGAGGATCCCCCCGTGGGTGTCGCGCCCCGGCCTCGGCCGCACCTCGGGCTGGCAAGCCACGTGTGCCCGCCTCAGACCCTCGGCAGACGCGTGCTAGGCCAGGAGGAGCTGAAGTTCTGCGGCACCGGCGTCCGCCCCGGGACGGTCCTTTCCGCTGCAACTTTCTCTGGATAGAGGGTGCGTGCGGATGGATCCCGACAGGCAGCGCTTTGGGAAGGCTACCCACCCATGGGAAGGCTACCCACCCATGGGAAGAGGTGGCCCGTTGGGTTTAGAGCCAAGGAAAGGAGGGGGCGTGTAAACTAGGCTTTGGAGGGAAGTAATGGGAGGGGCGCGTGAGGCAGGTTGGAGGGCAGAGGGGACAGCCCAGACCGGCGCTGATTGTCAGGCAACAGACGGGAGTGGCATGGGGCAAGGAAAGTGAAGTACGTAAGCTTGTTTGGGTGGAGGGTTGCCTAGGGAAACGGAGCACTTGAGAGCCTCTTCTTTCCCCTCTCCAGCCTCCTCTTTGGTGCTTAAGTCACGACCCCATCGATTTCTCCTTCCTCCCACCCCTCCCGCTCTCCTTCAGCCTGAGGGAACCCGAGGCGCAGAGGGCTGAGAATGAGGCGATAGTGGAGGATGAAGACATAGCCTTGGAGCCCCGAGGACAATGAAACCGACGCCCCTGCTGCAGCTGGCGCTGCTTCTTGTCCTGCCCAGGAGCCTGAGGGGGAAAGGGTGTCCATCTCCGCCCTGCAAATGCCACCAGGAGGACGACTTCAGAGTCACCTGCAAGGATATCCACCGCATCCCCAGCTTGCCGCCCAGTACGCAGACCCTGTGAGTACCTGGGAGAGGAGAGGGGAGGACTCAGGAGCCAAAGTCGGCTGGAAAAGGTGGATGGAAGTGCACGAAAAGAGCTTGAGAGGGTTGTGTGTGCGTGTGTGTGTGTGTGCGCGCGCGCGCGCAATGAGTAAAAACTCCATCGACCAAACGTGGGATTGCTGACGCTCGAGTTACTCATAACACAGAAAAAGTTAACGAAATTTTAGTACAAGATGAAAAGGGAGAGTTGTTCTTTCTAAAGAGCTGCTGTTCTGCACTTTGCCTACTCCCAGCCCTGGCTGAATCTTAATTTTACTTAAGATGTAAATAAGATTAATAGCAACTCAAAAACGGATCCTTTTGATCTTATTTTGGGTGATGAAAATTGCAAAAAAAAAAGGGGGGGTTTCAACTTTAATCTTTCTAGATGGGAAATTATCTTAGCAGGTCTCTTGGTTCATCAAACAGTTGATAGAAATTTAATCAGGGCTCTTTTAAAAACACAGTCGTCCCTCGGTATACATGGAGGATTGGTTCCAGGACCCCTGTGTACACTCAAATCCGAGGATGCTCAAGTATAGCATTTGCATATCACCTATGCACATCCTCCTGTATACTTTAGATCATCTCTAAATTACTTATAATACCTAATACAATGTAAATGCTATGTAAATAGTTGCCAGTGTGTGGCCAACGCAGGTTATGCTCTTTGGAACCTTCTGGAATTTTGTTCCCCCAAATATTTTCAATCCAGTGTTGGTTGAATCTGCAGATATGAAACCTGCCCAGATGGACGGTCAACTGAATATCCTTTATACTTTGTCTGGAATTCACTTTGTATGAAGTATCTGAGTTATTTACTCAAATGTGAGATACCCACTGATGCAGTGCATCCAAAAATCTCCTTTGGGTTTGGCATGGTAGAGGTATAAAAAGATGAAATTTCATAAAGTACATTTTTATCTGTGTGTTAAATGTTACCAGATTAGAAACTTGATGTTAAATGAGTTTTGTGTACATCTGTTCCTTAACAGATGTTGAAATCAATGATTGAAAGGATAATTGTAAACAAGGGAAGAAGGCTTTCTTGGGTGATTAGAAATAGAACAGTAGGAAAGAATAGTAAGACAATCTGGTTCCACTATTTACTTAACTGGTTAAACCCAGTTAAGGTACAAAAGCTCAGGTTATTAAAGAAAATGTAGGTAAGTGAAAAGCAATGGTGAAGTTGTATTTAAGATTTCCTCAAGAATTCAGCTCATAGGGACATTCAACAGTGGGTTATGAACGTTCTGGACACAGGTGTGTATTTCTATGCTGCGATATCTCAGTTTCTTATCTCACCTGGGTCAATTAGTGCAATAACATCCAGTGAATAACACTCATTCTTGGGCTTCCCTGGTGGCGCAGTGGTTAAGAATCCGCCTGCCAATACAGGGGACGCGGGTTCGAGCCCTGGTCCGGGAAGATCCCACATGCTGTGGAGCAACTAAGCCTGTGCACCACAGCTACTGAGCCTGCGCTCTAGAGCCCGTGAGCCACAGCTACTGAAGCCCGCAGGCTTAGAGCCCGTGCTCCGCAACAAGAGAAGCCACCGCAGTGAGAAGCCTGCACACCAGAACGAAGAGCAGCCCCCGCTTGCCACAACTAGAGAAAGCCTGCGTACAGCAACGAAGATTTCCATGCTGCCACTACAGAATAAAATACGTTCTTATCCTCTTGATTAAACCCCTGCATTGACTCCCCATGTCTCCCATGATAAAACTTTTTTGTACAACCTACAAGATCCTTTAAGACGTAGCCCAGTCTTTCAAACCTCATGGCTCCTACTCTGTCACACTTCACTCCTATGAACAGAATTTCTGGCACTTTCCCCAAAGTTCTTTGCTCTCACAACTAACTGCCTATGCCTTCCCTTCCACATTCTCTTCCCTCTGCCTAAAGCGACTTTTCCCTTTTCTTCATCTGGCTAATGCCTACTCCAAGGTCCAGATTAGGTGTCAACTCCTTCAGGAAGCCTCTCCTGGCCCATGACCCCTAAGCTGGGTGAGCTACCTTCTCCACAACATTCTGTGCATTCACCCTGTCCTAGCCCTTACACACAGCTTTTCTGTAACTTGATATTTCTTTGAGTGCCTGTCTAAGCAGGAGCTCCTCTAACACAGGGACACTGTCATTCAACCCTGGAACTACTTTGATGCCCAAAAAAGAACTTGTTAGGTGAATGAGAGAACAAACAAATATGCTGGTCTCAGATTGTCCGCTGTGTGTGGGGAGAAAGGAGGCCAGAGACATCACGACTTCAGAGACTTCTTTAAAGGGAGCAGAACTTCAAGAGTCATTGAAGAGAAATGTGGCTCTGGCAGTGGAAGGGAAGCTGGAATCATTCTGTGTATAGTTCCACCAAGTGATGAGACAGGTAATGTCAGAGAAAGAGCAATGAAATCAGAGTCAGGATACACATCTCTTCCTCCCTCTCTCACTGTGAAATTAGGTGAGATAATTTATGTGGCAGGACCCAAGTTTCCTTCAGGGTAAAAGGGAGGGTTCCATTAGGTTCTTTCTGATGCCTGTGATGCAATGAGAATAGTCTGAGGGAATCCATGGAATCACTGGATAAAGACAGTAGTGGGGAGAATCTGACCTTGAAAATAGTGGGAAGGTGGGGAGAGGGAGGGCAGGAGGGGGGGTATTCTGAAGAATGAAGTTATCCTGAGATAGAGAAGAGAAAATTGATGAAAAGTATAGGTTAAAGAGCATGCTAATTTGAACAATGACCGCAGCCCTGGGCAAAAGTAGCAGAATGATTTTCAAATCTTTTGGGGGCAGTAGAACTCTTCTGTGAAAGGAAAGCTTATGAGAGAAGTCAAATATGTAAAGCTAACAATCATACTGTGCTTATTCCTGTTCTCAGTACTTTATACCAACTCACCCATTGAATCCTCACAAAATCCAATTGAGTAGACGATTTTATTACTCTCATTTCATAGATGAGAAAACTGAGGCACAACAGAAATGAAGCTATTTGCTCAATGTCACACAGCTTGTAAGCGGTACTGCCAGGATGTGAAATACTGCAGAGCTGCACCCTGAGCCCCCTGCTTTCAGAGGAAAATGGGTCTCACCCTGCCAGCTCTTCCCCAGTATGGTCGTGAGGCTTTGGGGAGAAAAGTTTGAAAGCTAGTGATGTCCAATAAGCCATAGATAACCTTGGGGGCTATTGTCCCTAGAAATAATGCAGTAACTCAGAAGATGGGAGGGTAAGAGGAAAATAAAACAAGAAAAGAAAGAAGGAGGGAAAGAAGAAATTGGGAGGGAGGATTGGGACGGAGGGAGGAAAAGAAAGACTACATCTATGGTACAGGGCCTTCCCGACTGGAGCAAACCAGATCCTTGTCATTAAAAACCTGTTTTGAGTGGTAACCCCTTTTCCAAATACAGATGCTGTTTAACCATTGCCTAGCCATTTTACAAATTACTATGGTGCAATTTTCCCTAACCCTTACCTTCTATCCACATAGTATGGTGCTGAAAGGTAAAGAGATTGCCTCTTTCTTCACCACCCATACACCTGTCACATGGGCTGGGTGGGAGTTATACTGTTTATGGCTCCCACTGAAACAGTGGTTCTGAATCTTTTCTCCCACTTCCCCCCTCCAAATGGGCATGATACACTCTCTTTATAACAGTGGTTCTAACTAGGTGAGAAGTGAGGGAGAGCTGGTATCCCTACTCCCCGGTGGAACATTCTAGAATCTTTGATATACAGGTAGTCTGAAAAAATTGCTCCTTCCAATTGAGAATTACTGATTTAAGGGAACGTTAATGAAGCAAGAAGAATAAAATTTAAGTTTTCATGTATAATTATAGATCATATTACCTTAACACCAAGGATAACAAGATCGACCCATCACTCTCATTCAGAGAGTTGCCATTTGCTACTTCTATGTATAAGAGAACATCCCTTCTCTGAATGAGGAGGTAGATGAGGTTAGACGGCTGTTCTGGATTTGTGTGGATTCTTCCTCAAGAAAGTGCTGCCTTACCTTGCCTTGTCCTTTTAACCCACCTGCTTTTAGTTTTATGATGGTGACAATCATTGCCTCCACCCCCTCCATCCCCCACCTTCCAGAGTCTAGGGCTTCAGTAAAATAGTGGTTTGTCCATCACGCACTTGTGTGCCTTCAGAAATGTTTCTGAAGGAGTTGTAGCTATTGTTTTCGGGGTCTGGATTTTGCTTCAGTTTTTAGTCATTTGCATCTGTATCTGTGTCTCTAATTGATGGCCTGTCCTGGTGTCTTCTAAACTGAAGACGGTAACTCACCATCTTCAGGATTTTTGCCTTCTCTGTGTTCTACCTGTGCTATTATTTACTCAATATTTTTAGGTTGACTCACTTCTTCAACTAAAAGAAATCTGTTTAGAAGGCTTATATTGTGACTATAAATGGAAAATTAGCATGCCTTGCTCTAAATAGGAGGTAACTAGAAAACTAAATACAATTAAAACGTAAATGTAATTCTATTCTAGCTCGAGACTATTGTCTTTGAATGTTCTGAGCCTGAGGCTGCCTTCTCTTTGTTATAAAGGAAGTTTAATAAGTGTTCAAGAAATATCAAAGAGACATCAATCCACCAATCCTTGGTGGTGTCAGAAAGACTGAAGGACAATGGAAAAGGGAATCACTTTCTCACTGTGTGATTCAATATTATTTAATGCCATGTGGGCATTCCACCTAAAATAATCTCAAGTATCTCCAAATCACACCTGTTTTACACTTAGGGAAATGTGGATTAATTCTACATTTCACAATTACTTCAGTTACAATTAGCGGTCATAACCTGAATAACATTTGGCTTCAACCTAAAGAGAAGCCCTCTGCTTCAGCACCCATATGCTGTCCAAACATGGACCAATACTTTGTGTCTTATAAAGGCAGCTTCACTTCACACTTCCAGGCTCTGTGATTTATTCTCTGTTATTCTGTGTGAGTATGTGTGTGTGTATATCAGTCA